AAGAACATTGAGCACTTTATTTGTAGAACTACAATAATATATTACTAAAAACACTTATACCAAATTACCCCAGATAATTGTCATAAATTATTGAGCGACAATAGTTCTTATAACAAAAGCCCCTAAAACATTGAAAATGCAATTAATTTAAAAGGCAAAAACATTGCTAAAACAATTAAACTAGAAGCTAAAATTGAATTATTTGCACAAGCGCAAGCGTTTATTACACTTGAAGATCATAAACCCAGTTTTGAAAAATTAACTCCTTTGCAGGCTACTTGTTCCTTTAAAAAGTAAACTAGGGCACATTAGTAAAATTAACTTAGACAAAATAAATAATATTATTCAAAAAAAGGTAAATTTGCAGCAGTGGAAAAAAACCACTGATATTATAAATTGATTTTCAAAAATTAGTAATAAAAATTAATCAACATTTTTTCAATTTGATATTAATAATTTTTACACCTTAATTACAGCAGAAATTTTAGACAAAACAATAGAATTTGGAAAAATCCACACTGAAATTACAGACAACACTCTTTGTCTAATTAAACATTACAGAAAAACTTTACTCTACTTCAATAAGGAGACGTCGAAGAAAAAAACACTACGAATGCTTTGAGATAACAATGGAATGTTGCAGGCTCATCAATCAAAATGCAAAATTGTAGGTTTAAATATTTTAAATTCCTTTACTAAAAAAGTTCATTTTTATTTATTAGGCTTGTATCTTGATAATGGTTTAAAATAATGCAAAAACAAATCAAAAAAAATTCCTATTTCAATTAAAAATAGACTAAATCAAAACTCTTCTATTGAAAACATTTTTTAAGTCTTCTAAACGTGTGTATGAAGATGCTCTTAAAAAAAATTGGATTTGAAAATTTCGAGCTAAAATTTGAAACAAAAATTGCAAAAAAGCAAAATAGAAATATAATTTAGTTCAACCCTCTGTACAGCAAAAATGTTTCAACAAATATTGGAAAAGCGCTTTTAAAATTAATAGACTAACATGTTTTGACTACATATAGTCATCATTAGTTAAAATTTTACTAGTAAAAAATATATCTGCTAAAAATGTATTAAAATATGGTATATTATAAAAATAAACGTAATAAAAGAGTTTTAATTCCTTCTATTGTGTTCAATCATTTGGGTCTTTAAGTGACAAGCAGTTTTGACTACATTTTTTTTTATCTGGTTGGTAATTATGCCTTAAATAAAAATAAAGTCTTTTTTTGGCAAAACTACCTATCAGATAAAAAGCCCTAAAAATGTTATAATTATATATTCAATGCATCTAAAAACTGATTTTTTTTAATAATAATAAAGTATATATAATTTACTACCAGGGCAGTTTATTATTTTGCAATATTCTGTTTTTGTAACACCATTGATTCCTTTATCTAAAGAACTTTTTGTTCTATACCCATCTCCACATGTTGAAGAGCAATCACTCCATGTTGACCACTCTAAAAAAACAGATAGAATAAAAGAATTGCATAACATTTAAAAACTATTAATCAAAATTATTTAAAACAGTAAATTAAAAAACAAATTATAATAATTTTATCATCATCATCATCATCATCATCATCATCATCATCATCATCATCATCATCATCATCATCATCATCATCATCATCATCATCATCATCATCATCATCATCATCATCATCATCATCATCATCATCATCATCATCATTATCATCATCATCATCATCATCATCATCATCATCATCATCATCATCATCATCATCATCATCATCATCATCATCATCATCATCATCATCATCATCATCATCATCATCATCATCATCATCATTGTCACCATCATCATTATTATCATCATACCATAGCATGTTTGAACATCGAATCTGCTGCCAGAACAACAGTCTATAAAATTTAAATCATTACACTCTCTTGATCTGTTCATGGAAACTTTTCCATTAAAATCATTACAACTTGACCAGTCGCCCCATTGCGCCCAAGACTCTAAAATATAAAATACAAAACATAAATAAACTATATAAATGTAATAAACTAAAAAAAAGTAAAATTTCCTAAAATTTATATAATTAACTTAATTAAAGTTAACTTTAAATTTAAAAGGAAACTTAATTAAAAAAACTAAAAAAAAATTAACTTAATCAAAATTTTATTTAATTAACTTAAATAAAGTCTTTTTTCTTCTAAAGTTTTGAATGTTATGTAATTCAAAGGTTATCCATATATTGTTTTTAATAACCATTAAACAACTATAAATTAATTGGTTATTATCATTATCATTCATAATTATATGCTATAATCATAAGAGCTTTATGAGCTTTCTTAAAAGAAACGACTTTACAATGTTTACTTCCAAATTTAAGATAAGTAAAGTTAAATTAGTAAAAAAAGTTCAACTAATAAAAAAAGTAAAAATAAAACTAAAAAAAATTAAGATAAGTAAAGTTAATCTGTTTATTTGTTACTAAGATTAATTACAGTTCACAAAATTATTATTTTTTGTTTATTAGAGGTTAATAAACAATAAACTATCCTTGCTAAAAAACTAGTATTATCAAAGCAAGGATGTAAATATCCTGAGAAAATAATATTTTAACAAAGTTGAAATAATTATCCTATAATGCAGCATCTAGTATTGTGGTAATGCTGAATGGGGAACCATTTCTACATACTTTGTTTATAAAGCAGGCTCGATGTGAATGACTTATTACAGAAAATGGACAAATATGAGCATGTTACAACCGTTTTAAGAGCAGGTAGTTTGATGGTTTGAAAATTTTAAGTTTGAAGTCTTCATATCCTTTAATGACATATCATGTTGTTAATTTTCAAAAATTTACTAAAAGTTCTACCTGTCACAATTTTCAAATAAAAACTTTTGTTTTAACAGAGAAAATGCTCAACACATTCAAAGAATAAACAAAGTAATCTACAATAATTTTTTTACAAAAAATATTCATACATGCGAAATTTTGTAAGTGGGAATGATAATAATGCGTTTAGGTAAGACTCCTTTTTCATTTTTAAGTAATTCAATGTATAAAATTATACAAATTAATACAATGTAAAACATATTAAAAGTACTGTAAAAAGTACTATAACAATATCAATTTCATCATTGTAACAATATTTAAATAGCTTTAGTAAATAGCTTTAAAAAAAGTACATACTTTTTTGAACACCATTTAGTTTTTTTTTTGAAAAAAAGTAAAGAATTAAATCCAAAAAAAAAAAAAAGTAAAGTTTCAGTTTCAAAAAAATCAAAAAAGCTAATCTTTTACTTATAAATTTTACTTTAAAAAAACAACAGATTAGTACAATTAGAATTAAACGACATGTCTTTCCTTAATAAAAGCAAGAAATTATTAATAGGAAGTTCTTCCTGAAGGATCATTTCTTCTTAAATAAGGGAATGGCTAAAGATTATGCAATGCTTTTATTATTAAAAAATAAAAGTAGGAGATCCTTTGCTCTTTTGTGCGGTGACTTATACTTGTGTAAAATTTATAAATTTATACTTGTGTAAAATAAGGATGCTTTGCAAAAATTTACGATGATTGGAGCTTGAGCACAAAAAAAACCCGAAAATTTGGCCGACACTGCCCCAAATGTGAGAGCAACAAGTTGATGAAATAGTTTTTATACTATTTTTAACTATACGTTTATTTATCAATAAATTTTAAGTTTCATAGTATTATCTCTCAGCGTTCTAAAATTATGACAATATAAAATTCGCAACCCCCTCACATTGAGGGGGGTTTAAACTTTATATGGTCATAATTTTTGAACACTGAGAGATAATACTATGAAACTTAAAATTTATCGATAAATATAAGTCTAGATGAAAATAGTATAAAAACTATTTCATACTTATAAATTTTTGGATTTTGCTCCATGTCTGGAAGTTAGCTATCTCAAAGACCAAAAAATGCTGACACTGGGCACAATCAACATCTTTCATAAATGTTACAGTTTTCTATTGGCTCATTACTGTGTATATGATATAATATGATTGTATTCTGCAATTTATTTTTACATGATGCAGTAAAGAAATAGATAAGTTACTTTGAAAAACGAAAATTATCTTGTAAAATGTAATAATATAAATGTAATAATATATATATTATAACATAAATATAATGAACAATATAAAAAAATAAAATATGTTTAATATAACACATAAAAGTATAATATAAAAAAGAAAACAAGTAAAAAATAGTGTATATATATATATATATATATATATATATATATATATATATATATATATATATATATATAAACACGTTAATAAACTAAACTTTTGACAAACAAAACATGTTTGCTGTGCAACATAGTTGTGTTTGTTTAACTACCTTCTCAAATATACCATTAAATACCATACCATTACTTACCATTACTAACATTAAACACCATTAAATACCATTAAATACCATAACTACCATTATATATACCATAAAATAATAATAATTATAATACCATATTATACCATATTATACCATAACTATAATTATAAATTCCATTAAATACCATAAAAACCATTAAATACCATTAAATACCATTACTAACATTAAATACCATTAAATACCATAATAACATTAAATACCATAACTAACATTAAATACCATACCATACTTATACCATTAAATTTTTATTGTGACTTCTTAATTTTACAACTAGAAAAGGATACCAAAACTTGACCTGCTAATAAACAGCAGTCTGATAATAGGTACTAATACCCGACTCACATACAATGTATAAAACTTTTCTTAGAACCAAGTTCGGCTAATATTTAAATTGTAATATAATTTTTAGCAAACATATTTACTAAAAGATGATGTTAATAACAAATTAATATATATATATATATGTGAAGTTGGGGCATAACCACATATGGAGACACAACCAATTTTTTAACATATCCCTTTGAACAATTTTATCTAATGTGGCAAAAAACATACCACGAATCAGTAAAAAAGTTTCCTAGATTTTGCGTTTGTCTAAAAAGAGTGCTTGTTGCGTTTCTGAGAAGTTGTGCATAGTAATGTTTATTTTGATAAAAAAAAAACTTTTGTTTAATTTTTTTAAAACATCTTTGCTTCTAACAAGGATGCAAGCAAACACAAATTAGTGATGGAAGTTACTGGAAGAGAAAAGATGAAGATTGTAGAGCAAGATAACGATTGACAGACAACTTAAAAGATTGCCAATTATATAAATCAAGAAAGCAAGATGAATTCTAAAGAACTAATATTTGAGGGAAAAACCAGACAAATAAGAGTTTTTGGAGCGCTTAGGATCAGTAACAGAAAAAGGATGAGTTTTAATTGAATGACAAATAACATAAGAATGAATTTTAGTAAACGGCACAAGAGATGCAAGCTTTTTAGAGCAGTGCTATTATAGTATTTATAGAAAAGAAAAAGAGAAGCAACATTACGACAATGTGAAAAAGGTTGAAGGTTGGCTGCAAGAGCAGGTTCAACTATGTTTACAATGCATTTTTGCACCTTGTCAAAAAGAGAAAGGGCATCATTAGAAGATCCGCCCAAGATATGGCAACAGTATTCCATACAAGGCCAGATTTGAGATTTATAGAGATAGAGAATAGAATCATGAGTAAGAAAGTGTCGAGCTCAATAAAGAGATGCAACTTTAGCAGATGCTAATTTTGAAACAGATTTGATATAAGGTTTCCAAGAAATATCAGAAGTAAGAGTTAATCCTAGAAGATGAATGTTAGATGACTCATCGAGTACATTACTGTTCATAAATATAGGAAGGTCTAAATTATTATCAATAGTCTTAAAGATGTTTCCAGATACACTGTAAGAAGAAAGCTTATGGAGAAGACCAGCATGCCAAACTTTATCAAATGCTTTAGAAATGTCAAGAGTGATGGCCTTAACATCTCCACCTCCACTTTTCAAGCTCAGATGCCCCTGCAAACAATCAGAGAGTCAGCTTCTTATCGTGACAAGAATAAATGGTAGTATCATCAGTGAACAATGCCACCTTAGATGTAAGAATATCTGGAAGATCGTTAATGTAAATTAAAAAGAGTATAGGGCCAAGGATTGAACCTTGGGGACCCCTGAGGTTACAGAATAAGAAGAAGAGTGCTGTCCATCAAGGACAACTTTTATACTACGATTGGAAAGAAAGGATTCAATAATCTTAAAGAATGTTTCCAGATACACCATAAGAAGAAAGCTTATGGAGGAGACCAGCACTCCAAACTTTATCAAATGCTTTAGAAATATCAAGAGCAATGGCCTTAACCTCTCCACCTTTATCTAATGCGCAATAAAACCTATCGGTTATTACTATTAGCATATCATCAGTAGAACGAGAAGATTGAAATCCATATTGATGATCAGAAAGTAAGTTATTAGATTCAAGATGAGAGATTAAGTGTTTGTTAATTAAAGATTTAAAAACCTTGCTTATGATAGGAAGAAGACTAATGGGACGGTAGTTAGACGAATCAGATCACTCTCCAGAATTTTTAAAAATAGGGATAACAGATGCTGCTTTCCAGCAGGCTGGAAAACAAGACTCTGATAAGCACTTGTTGAATAGTTTTGAAGGATAGACAACACCTCCGAAGAATACTTTTGCAAGACTATAACAGGTATGTTGTCCGGGCCGCAAGCTGTAGAAGAGTCTAAGCATGAAATCACTTTAGATACAGAAGCTGGAGTGATACGGATGTCGAGCAATGGATCAACCTGTTTGATGGCTATATCAGGTAGAACGCAACTAGTGGATTCAAAAGATGATATTGATGAAAAGTTCTTAGCAAACAATTCAGCTTTGCTTTTAGGTGAGGTGACAAAGTCTGAACCATATAAAAGAGGTGGAATTACAAACTTGCCCTTATACTGTTGATACTATTAAAGATTATCCAGAAGTCACAAGAGCCTAATTTTTGAGATGAAATACAAGACTTCATGATCTGAGAATAGCGGGCTTTGGCGTTAGACAAAACCTTTATAGAAGTAATAAACAGAAGTCTGTTTTCTGGAGAATTTTTTTGCTGATAGGTATGGAAGTAATGGTTTCGATTGGCAATTGCAGCAGCACAATGTGAGAAAAACCAAGAAGAAGAGTGAGGCTTGACCTCGAATCGTCGAGAGGGAATAAAGGATTCCATGCCAGTCTGAATCCACAAAGTTATGTAAGAAGCACATTTATCAACAGGAAGACAAAAGATTTCTACTATAGGGCAAAGAAACTTCGTTTCTTCGCCCTTGAGTAGAAATCACAAAGAAAATCACGGAAAGAGTCCCAGTCAGCTCTAAGGTAGTTGCAAGATGTATGATGACAGGGAGAGTCTGATGATAAAGAAAAATGAGATATAGTTTTAGAGAGATCAAACTGTGATCAGAGGAACCTAAGGGTAAATGTGGAGAAATTGAGCACTGACTAGGATCAGAGACAAGACATAAGTCGAGTAGAGAAAGTAAATGATTCTGGTTGTCTGGAAAACGAGTTGGAAAGTCGCTTACAAAAAAAAGATTTTAACAATTTACGAACTGTCAAACGTTTCCTTGCAAAAGTAACAAACAGCAATGGAAAATATTTATTCCAGGATGTTGTGCTTAATGAGTTTAAAAACGCACAAACTTTAGTTTAGAATTTAAAATCAATGATTGTAGTGTTAATGACAAAATCCATGGAAGAGCATTTAGAGACTCAAAATACAGTTCCTGATATGTATGGAACGTTAATTCTACGCACTGCTGGTTGGTTACAAAATAACACTAATAATTCATTTGCTGATGATATCATTGAAAAATTTTATGACTTTTATTGTATACCATTACATTATGCTGGCTTCACTGGGACTGTAAACAATATGTTGGATGTTTGGCATAGCTAAGTTGATTATACTGTCAAATATTTAGCACCAGATAAAACTGAGTATCGTAAGCTCTTTTAAAAAAGAGTGGAATACAGTTTTGCTTCTTGTTGAACTGTTGTTTGTATTGCCTGTTTCGAATAGAAAAGTTAAGCGACTTTTTTATCTTTTTTTAATCGAATTAAAACAGATACAAGAAATGAAAAATGGTTAAACAATTTAATTCAGATTTGCATGGATGAAACAAATAGTGATGAATTTGATTTGAATCTTGCGATTGAATTATGGATTGAAGATATGTTGAGAGGGCCTGCGCAAAAAAGCAGAAAAGTTTATTCTAAAAATGAAATAAAGCCAAATATAAAAACACTAATTGATTTAAAATCATCATCCAATGAAACTTTAGAACAGCAATCAGATGAAACATATATATGAACACGCATTTATTATGATTGTTATAAGAGCGTTTTACAAAAAAAAATTCTTTTAGTCGTAAGTATTTAGTTTAATTTTTTTTTACTATTTTATATATTTGTTTTCAAATTTAAAATGTAATAAAACATTAACAGGGACAAATCAAGCCTGTTTTGGTTCCTGCTGGAGTGCTATGGATGCCCAAATAACATTTATTATTTATTGTTTTTCTTTTGCTTTTTTATTAAACTTAAGAAAAAAGTTTTTTTTCAAATTTAATAGTAAATAACACAACTTTCCTGTTTAGGTAGTTCATTTTTTATAAAATTAATTAAAAAGTAATTATATGCCGCAATATGCTGAACTTTTAAAACTGTCCTTTGCTCAATTTCAATTTCCAAAGCTCAATTTCAAAAAGAATGCATGAAAATTTTATTTTTCGCCTTGCCAAAAGAATAAAATGTTTTTAGGATTGTTAACAAGCAAAGTATAACAAAACTGTTGTTTTGTTATTCTTTGCATGATGCCAATTTTAAAATCGTTGATTTTTGCTTGCTGGCAACTAAAAGTTACCGTTTATAATGATGCTCAATATTAAAAACATTTTGTTCACAAAAAAAAGCACAAATTTCAATCCTTATGACAATTTAGTATTCACAAAATTTAAAAATGAATGAACTTGATCTTTAGCTAGCTTTTTTATTTGGCGTTAGTAAAACGAAAACTATTTTAGAAAATTTTTTTCTCTTTATATTCTTCTTAACTCGAATAAAATTAACTATGGAAAAAAAGTAGAAAAATTCTATAAAAAATTTTTAGTTATTTTTAAACTGCTATGTCTTAAATTCTTAAAAAAATCCATAGTAAATGTGACTTAATTATTCTACACAATATTTTTATTATAAATTATTTTTTTTTAATTTAATTTTTAAAAAAAGGTGTCTTAAAGCAAAGTGAATATTATTAGTAAAGCTGTCCATTTAACTTTTAGTAAAAGTTAAATAAACAGAATTGATAATATTTAAATCAAAATTAAAATGATAATAACTAAGCTTAAGCTTAGTTACTAATATTAAGAAAAAAAAAAACATAATCGTTTAATAAGCACTTATTAAACAATTATTATAATTTTTTTTTTATGTCTTTATATGTTTTAATGTTTTTACATGTTATATATATAATTTAATCTGTTAATTATAATATAATTTATATATACATAACATAATTTAATCTGTTAATTAGTGGCGAACATAATTAATTTATTAGTGACGTTGGTAAGTGACCTCACTAACTAAATGAATTGGATGTTATTCAATTTATCAAACTCCCTTTAAGAAATAAAATAAAAATCTGTGCGCTTAATTGTAAACTATTAACATTGGCATGTTATTTTATTGTTAGTTATTTGTAAGTTTAAAAAAGGAATACTAATTCGTTAATTATCAAATATAAAGTTATTTTTGTATTTATAAAGTTCAGTCATAAAAAACTATTACGAAGATTAAAATGAAAACAAAGAAAATAATAAATACATTGACCGTCCAAAAAAAAAGTTAACTGTCAATTCCAAGGGTTAGCAGGCAAAATTGACAGCATGCCTGCGATTTCTTATTTTCCACGCTCATATATATATATATATATATATATATATATATATATATATATATATATATATATATATATATATATATATATATATATATATATATATATATATATATATATATATATATATATATATATATATATATATATATATAGGCCTCGGCGGGAAGCCGAGCGGGAAGATTTTTTGAAACGGTTTATGGGAGCAATTTATTGCTCTTGTAAAAGTGTAACTTTTCTCACGAAAGTATAATTATTGCTGAAACTAAAATAAAAAATAAAAAATTAATTGCATAATAAACTGCAATGCTTTTTAAAAAGTACGGTTGTTGCAAAAAAAAATTATAATTAAAAAAGAGTGCTGATTTTAATTAGGAGCAGCTTGCACAGCTCCCCAAGTTTGTTTTAGGAGAACTTTTCTTCGCTCTCGTCCTCATTTACTCGAGGCCTGTATTTATATATATACATATTGTCTACTAAATTATGAAAATAGAATATAATTCTATAATAGTATTTTAGGTTTAGGGATTAGTATTAGTTAAGCAAGTCACTATATATTAGTGGTTCAGATAATATTATTTGCTTTTAGCTTTGAGATTTTTTTTTAATCAGATTTTAATTAAGGTTAATGAAATATATAAATACTATAAGAAAGTTGCTAACATAATTGCTTATGTTTAACCATATTTAAACATACGCAATTATGTTAAAATAGAAACATTTCAATTTCAATGAAACACAAAATATTTTATTATTTAAATTCTTTGTTTATTTATTTTATTGAAAAAATGATAGAGTATCCTATATAATAATAACAACAATAATAGTAATAATAATAATAACAACAACAACAAATATCAATTGCCTTATTAATAACTTAACAACATCAAACATAATAATAAGTAAAATAATAAGAATAACAATAACAGTAACATGCCTTGACATAAATCATTACTACATGAATGTGCCTCATTACTGTCACCAGTGCAATTTAACCATTGGTTACTGTTGCAAATGCGGGTTCTTTTTACAACTGATGCATTGCAGCTTGACCACTCACTCCATTGTGACCAAAATACTAAAATAAAATTGCTGTAACTATCTAAATCTGTTTCCAGTTAAATAATAATACAGTCATGGAATAAAACAAAAGTATATTCTACCATTTAAAATTCCAAATTTATCAAAACATTCCTAAAGTTTATAGTTTTAACATAAATGTAACCATTAATAATATCTTCTATGTGATTAAAAATTATGTAAACTATGTTTTAAAACTTTTTTTTTATATGTAATTGAAAACATTAAATATTAAAATGGTTAATAAACGCATTGAGTTGATATTATTTATACAAACATGAGAAAATAAAATAAAAAAACAACAAAATATATGCCTTGATTAAATATTTATAAAACTAACCAATTTCAAAAATAACCTCTATGTTGATTAAAATGATGTTACATTTAACAATGAACTTTTAATTCAGTTTATTTGCTACATAAAAAAACATAAACAACATTTTCTTTACTTATTTGCAATGATGAGAGTTAAATAGCAAAGAAAAATTTATTTACCTTGAGTTTTACTTATAATATTTAAATTCTTAATTGATCCAAATGTACAGACATTGTTATAACAATTTTTAAAAACATGCAAGGTTATATCAGTAAATACTTTTGGCTGCAAATTACTAAATGAAGATATAAGAGTTCCGTTTAGGTACAAACTTGTATTATAAGTGTTATCGCTGCTACTATAATGTTGAGTCAGTTTAAGTGAATTCCATGCATAGGTTGATATATTTATTTGGACTTTATTTTTGAAACCATCAATTACAAGATATATTATACCCATTTCAATAAAAGAAAGAAAAGTAGTTGAATCTTGTTCAAATGTCAAGATATAAATGTTGTTTGTAGTTAGCAATATATCAAAAGATATAACAAATTGATCAAAGAAAACATTAAAGGTTGCATTTGTGTACCGAGTAACAGTCTCATTAAAGTATACTGAATCTAAAAAAAAAGAAAAATAGAAAAATAAATAAAATATTAAAACCTGACTTTATGAACTTTATTTTTTTACTAAAATATTAGAACCTGATTTTATGAACTTTATTTATTTATTAGACTTTATGAACGTATTTAATTACTAATAAATATAACATTTTCGGCATAGCAAAGATTTGAACTCAATAACTTATTAAATCCCACTATATAATTAAAAATAATCAGCACAAAGGCAAATATATAGATATAAAAGATATCTTTATTTATTTATTAGACTTTATGAACATATTTAACTACTAATAAATATAACATTTTCGACATAGCAAAGATTTGAACTCAATAACTTATTAAATCCCACTATATAATTAAAAATAATCAGCACAAAGGCAAAAATACAGATATGAAAACATGAAATTCATTAATAAATTTGTGAAAGAGCTTAAATTTTTATTTCTCAAAGCTTTTGAAAATACAAAACCTTTGTTTTTGTTTTTTAATGCATTTCCTACTGTTTTCAATATAAAGTCAAATGTTCTGTTCTAAAGTTAACTGACATCATCCTTTTACATTTTTTTTCTTATAGCTATAAACTTTTTTTTGATAGCAATATTTAATTTGATAAAAAATATTTAACTAAATAAAATTAATTGATTATAAATTAATATAACAATAATGAGGAATTATAACGATAAAGTGCTGTTTTTAGTTTAATTTTTTTCTCCTGAAATTAAGAAAATTTACTGGTAATTCACACTTTTTTATTATGTACATATTTAACTAATTATTTCTATATATATATAAACAATTTGTTCTAATTAAATATTAAATAAAATAAGTATATATATATATATATAAGTATATATTTTCTTGTCAATAACATTAAAATGTAATTTGTGTTTAACATTTTCTGATGATTTTTATTTCCCAATATTCTTGCCCAATAATATGCCATATATTTGAAAGAATGTTGAATAATACAAGGTATGTACAAAATATGCCATATATTTGAAAGAATGTTGAATAATACAAGGTATGTACAAAATATGCCATATATTTGAAAGAATGTTGAATAATACAAGGTATGTACAAAATATGCCATATATTTGAAAGAATGTTGAATAATACAAGGTATGTACAAAATGCGCAATTTAGGTACAATCTGTATATAAATAAACTTAAAAAACAACCAGGGAAAGATGTTAAAAATAAAAAATGTATTAAAATTAAATATTTGTTCAAAATTAGTTATTAAATATGTTACGCAAACAAACAAAAAAAAATAAAAATTGAAAAATGATAATCCTTAACAAACAAACACATCAAATAAGAACTTACTAACTAGAGTTTATTTAGAAGTACAAAAAACTAAATACATAGGTCAAAATTGAAAATGAATATTAAATTTTTTTTTTTTTATAATTATTAATGTTAATGTGAAATTCTCTATCTTAAAAAATAATTTTAGAAAAATAATAAATTTAATGTTTTGCTTGATAACCTATTCCTTTTCTTTATAACAAAATCACTGGATGTGGGATAATTTCATTCGTTTTGCGCTGATGTATTTTTGTTAGCAATGCAATAATAAAATGTTCTAAATAACATGTACAGGAACCACTTTTTTGAAAGACACTGCATTCTTGCCTTGTTGTTTTACTAGTACTTTTGTTAATACTATCCACAACATTAATCTTTTTAAAAGTGTCTTTAATTGATAAACTTCTCGGAGAGATAATTGTACTTTGATATTTTATTCTAACTCAACTTCAGCATTAGCAAAATCATTACTGTTCGCATCACTGTTTATTTCTAAGTAATTGGGGTACAATCTATTAAGTAACCTTTCATAGATAATTCAAATTTAGATTCAATAACTTTTATTCTATTCCATCTTATTTTGCAATCCAAAAGTAAAGCTAACTCATTAGGTTCTTTGAAAGAATTTTAGTTAAAGATATAAATAAAGGTATTCAGAAATTTGTGAAAAAATTTAAAAAATTTTCTATAAAAAATGATGTAAACAGAAATATGTAACTAAGAAAGAACTTCTTTCTCAGTTACATATCTCTGTATTACATCATTTTTTATAGGAGATTTTTTAAATTTTTTTACAAATTTCTGGCTACCTTTATTTGTATCTTTAATTAAAAATCTTTCAAAGAACCTAATGAATTAGCTTTACTTTTGGATTTTTATATTTTATAATTACTGTTTGAGAATTTTGAATTAGTTTTTTTTCCGCACAAAATATTATTTACACAAAGTTTAACTCCCTTGACTCAAACTCATCAAAATACAAGCATAATTACACAGGAGACAGTAATGCGCTTCTCTATGTGACAATAAACACTAGGAATAATAATTCACCAAATCAAAGTACATTATTTGCATAACAAATTAAAAAATGTATTATATATATATAATAAATTTTTTAATTTCTTTTTTTTAATACTCAAATTTTCATTTTAATATTCAAATTTTTATTTTCACGAGATATATCAATTAACTTCTTTAGAAATAAGAAAAAAAAAAAAAACTTCTTGAAAAATTCTTGAGAAAAAAACACCAAATGAAATTTTTTTGTTAAACTTAAGATTTAGTAAGTTAATATCTGTAATTTATAATGTATGAAACAAATAGTTGACTTATGTGTGACAAATGTATGAAACAAATAGTTGACTTGAATAGATATTGGTTTGTTTTGCATTTTCAACTGGTAAAAACTATTCAGATGCTGCTATTTTTTATAGTTAAGAAAAATTCCATGTAGCTTTTTTTAAATAGTTTAATGAATAAAATTTAATTTAGTATTGCTGTTATTGTACAGAAACAATTGATGAAACCATATTTGTAAACAAAGCACAATAAAAACAGCAGGCTGAACTACTAGTGACTTACATGGTCATCCAAAAAATTGATATATTGAAAAGAAATAGCAAGAGTAGTCAAAAAAAACCTGTGTTTGTTGCAAAAAAAACCTGTGTTTGTAATCAAAAAAACTTCTTTTTTTCAAAAAGAAAAGCAACTCTCTTGTAACTGCAGTTTCAAGAATGATAGTAAAAGATGGCATTTTGTTAATAACAATTGTATAACCTAAGATTTAAAAACACAATTAAAAGCATGTTGAAATTAAAGCATTGAAAAGCCAAAAAAAAACTAAAACCATTTTAAAAAAAGTAACTGAGTATGCAAATAAAATCAAGTAAAAAGTTTAAAGGAAATTTTACAGCATAAGCTCAATACACAAGAATTTAGTATTACCACAGATAAATGGTCATTTAATAAAAATTGACAAAATATACAGGGTTCAATACAGTTTTGAAGATCAACTTTCTCAAACAATACTCCTGTTTTTAAGTATTCATTGCCTACAATTAGGTGGTTAAAATTATATACAATTTTTCCTAATAATGTTAAAAAGTACAATGTTTCCACAACTAAATCCAGATTCTCTGAATATTTTTTTATTGCAATTTGGTAAAATACAGGCTTTTTTTAACAAGTTAATAGCAATAAATCCAAGAGAGATTTGTTAGTACCAAACAGTAGTTTAGAAATACTTCATAAGGGAAGTATTGTAGATAATATTTATTCAACAACTTTTATATTTGCTCAGAAAAGCAACATCCCTTTTGCAATCACATGGGCCCTAACCTTTTTGAGGCTGATTGCAATTTTATCTTTAGAGACAAAAACCTTTCACCTCGCAAATATAAAACAACTCAGCTAAACAACACTCTAAAAAACAAGGGATAATTGTGAATAATTCATTAACAGTTTTTGGCGAAAAGAAGCTTTCTGTAGACACTAAATGATTTAGAAACATGCTGTCTCTGTGAATTCTGCACAGCTGAGCAGATACTAAAAAAGAACCGGGAAAATTTTTGTTAATACTTTTATACTGCCATTTACATAACATTTTACTAGTTTTGTTACATCTCAATCAGTTACAATTGGTAACAAGTTTACATTCTCTTATTTTTAATTAAATATTATTTAAATAAACTTGATATCACAGTAAATGTTTGTTTACTATTGCTGTGTAGCTAATTACCATATTTACTTTATTTTTTATTGCAAAATGGCTTTGTCTCAACTGGTTACTTTGTCAGAAAAAAAAATAAAGTTTCAATTCGCAATGCAACATATCAATCAGTTTTTTTTTTTTAACTTTTAAAAGTGCAACCATTTGAGACGTATAGTAAAAAAAAACGCAATTAAATTAAGTCTAAAACACAGTATTTGTTTACGTTAGGTTACCTCCTAATTGGTTACGTTAGGTTACCTCTTAATTGAAAAAACTTTTGAAAGTTTCACAAAAACGTAATGTAACGTAAAGTAAAATCTATATTTGTAACTATGTCTCAAATTTGAGACATTAATTCGCAATGTTACGTCTCCATTGTCTTTTTCCTTAACCTTTAAAAGTGAAACCAATTGAGGCGTAATGTAACATAAAAAAAGGAGACAATTAAAATAAGTCTAGGATAAATGCAGAATTTTTTTACCTTTACTTGTGTCTTAATTGGTTTTATATAAGTTACATCTATATTGGTTACTTTCGAGTCCTTAATTCAAGGTTGGAATGAAAGAAGGGTGGGTGGGAATTTTAGTCCAGGTCTGATTAATGGGTTGGAGGTTAATAAAAGGGGCGGGAGGGAATATATAAATCTAAACTAATATTTTTTACATAACATGCATAAAATTTTATGCATATTAAATAAATTGATTTTTTGCTGACTGAAGTAATGATTTTCTAATTTTTATGACCAATTTTTACAGAATTTTTCTTTTTTAGTCTTGAGATTTAATTTTTCTATTGATAGCAAGTAAAACTTAATAAATGTGGGGGAGAGGAGGGAGAGAAGGTCTTATTATACCTAGGGCAGATGGAAAAATTTTCCTAAAGTTATCAAAACGCATTCCCCTCAAATCATAAAGTATTATATATTATATATATTATTATATATTATATATACTTTATTATATATTATTATATATACTTT